ATTGGCGGCAAAATCGGCGGTGTCTAAATGGGGTGGTTTTGAGGCCTTGGGCAGTACACCCACGGTTGTAAGGGGGCAGGTCCTAGAGCAAAAGCAGGGGAGAAAGATCACCCTGCCAACCGGGAGAATTTGTGGCTGTGCACAGGGGCTGCGAGGATGGGATCGCACATGGTTACATTCGTTAGATATAGGAGGCAAGGTGCTATGCGCTGTTTGAAATCTTTGGACGTAGAAGAACCACACACGCTTCCTTCTTCAACTCAGATAGAAAGGTTTGATGGTCCATGGACACTGCTTAGCGCTTGAAAATATGCGAAAATCATAATATAAATCGGCGCAAATATTGTGCAGGCTCCTCAACACCAAACTTTGTATGCAAGTTTGTTTCCTTGCAGTATCGCCCACAGTACCTGGTGATCCCATGTATCCCAAGAGTCCCTAAGGTTACCTATCCCTTTTTCGAGAAATTTCCATTTATGTCCATCAACACGCTTGCAAGTCCCATGGTATTAGCTGTAAGGATTATGGTTAATGGTTCATTTAGGGTGTCAGAGACTGGGTTCACCTTTTATAGGGTTGGTTAGTATGATGGCTGTCAAAACCGACCCCCGGATCTTGTCCGGCAATGGTTTAGGTTCAGGGTTTTAGCATTGGCAAGCTGTTGCCAGAAGGGTAGGATGTGTGAAGATGATACTGCAGCCAACCCTAAATAGTAAAGCCTACCCAAGTAGCCCCCGATTCCTCGCAAAAACGCAGCAAGGCAAAAGAGATGGAGGAAAAGGCAAGAGTTTGGCCCTGAGTTTGCGGTATACAGGTGGTCAAAGGATACGTTTGGGGGAGTATGATTATAGAGTTCCCCCTTCCCGGGAGGTCCTGAACACGATGTAGCATTGGCTTGTTCCGCAAACTGTGATTTCTACCATTTTTTGGTCCAGGGCAGGTAAAGGGTTCAGGGCCCTATAAGCCCTACCCTAAACCCTAAACCCTAAGCCCTACACACCCTAAACTGCTACAGTTGCGGGCTTGCGTTTCTAAGGCTCAACTCGACTGATTGGGTAGGGCCCATGATTCAGGGTTTTAGGGGCTCAGAGTTTAGAGTTTCTGTCCCAGGGATTTGGGGATTTGGGCTTTGGGTTTGGGGCTTAGGGTTCAGGGGTTGGGGCTTACAGCTTCAGGCCACTTGGTCTATTTGGAGGGTCGGGGGGGGCTTGGTAACAGTTTTCCCTTTTTTAACCCACTTACTAAGTCCCCATGACCCTAAACCCAAACCCTAAACCCTGAAGCCTAAACCCAAATCTAGTTACTAAGTCCCCATGACCCTCCAAGCATCGCACGCTTCTCAGGGTTTAGGGTTCGCCGGTTTGCCGTGACAGCCTATCAAAGCCCGAAGTGGCAACACGCAGTCCCTTAGCTTTTCTGTAAGAGCCTTCAAAAGTCTAGGTGCCCCAGTAGTACCCTTTTCCCTTTTTCATTTTTGGGTCTCTTAAATCAAGGTTGAAGATTAGCTGGGGAACCTAAAAAGCTTATGACAATAGCAGTAACACTGGCTAGTACTAATAACAATATATTCCCTATAATCCCTATATAAACCCTACATTATCCCTGTAGTCCCCATATTTTCCATTTGCTTTTCCATTCTCCCTAGAAACCATTATATAACCCCTCCTAAACCCTAAACCTTAAACTCTAAACCCTGAACCTTAAACCCCTATGTAACCCCCCTATACTTGACTGGAATCCTGCCCCCTTGGGTGCCATTCTGGGCTTGGGAGCTTCAATCTCGCGTTTCCGATCTGGATTAATTAGGGACCCTTTCCAGGGATACTATAAGGCATGGGGATATACATATCGATATATATATATATAGATAGAGAGAGAGAGAGAGAGACTGGGGTGCCCCTTTTAGGGGAAACGGTCTGAGTAAAACAAGATTGGGAGAAATTAGTGCAAGCCATGGCCGCTCGCCGTACACCTCAAGCTGAGGGAACTGGACAGGACAGTGGAGGAGGTATTGGGACAAGAACCACCGCATCGATGATTAGAGAAGAAGGTACAATGCCGACCCGGGAGCACAGAGACGCAAAGACAGGCGGGGAAGTACGTGGAGAAAAAGCAGAGGACAGCCGGAGCAGCAACAAAGCTGGATGGAAGAGAGGCACAGATGAAGTTAGACCAGCTGGCGCATTCAACAATGTGGCTGAAGCAAGAAGCGGAAACAAGGCAGCAGTGGGAAGGAGAACACCCAGACCTGGAAAAGGATACTGTCCGTGTGGCGAAAGCGATCCGAAGGATGGACTTTCAACTCGGCGAAGGCGCATCAATTCAATGTATTAAAAGTCAGCTGACAGAATGGGGAGTGCAAGGGGTTGTACAGACAGAGCTTCAGGAAAGAATGCCGGATACATCAAATTAGAAGAAGCAAAGAAGCAAGAACATTACTGATACAGACCGTGACCATTGCGGAAAAAATCGATACGTTTTCAACTTGACAGGGATACCGTGCAACACTTTGACAGGGAGGTAAAGTGCGAGAAAGGGAGTGAGGGAATTCAGCATGCCGCCAAGACCCTTTTGCAAAAGACGGAGGGGGATTGGCTTACTGAGACAACCTACCGCGACAATGCCAATTCGCGAGCCTGCAACAGGGAATGGGAATATGGGTCCGGGATGTCGAATTGGGGTTTGAGTTTAGGGAAGTCTCTGATGCAGGGTGCGAGGAATTGAAGGCCGAAGACGGCGAAAGCGCGCACCAACTAAGGAAGAGAATGTAGGGAAATAATGTACAAAATCTGTTCATGAAATAGGACCTGAAAGGGACAAAGAGTTTCTCCGCGAGAACTGAGAAGCAAGGGACATGTGGAGATCGCTGGGTGAAGTAGGGAAAGATGGATCTCCAGGTGCCAACCTTTCCTCAGTCCATTCCATCCGACCATTTTCCCGGGAGACTACGGCGCATTGGATGGGGTAAGCCGGGGTGAGATCTATTAGGGGTTGATTTGGTCCACGATCCAATGAACGCTGTACCTCTCCTAGCCAGGGATACCGGACATTGGGCTGGAGGTTCGCCTCCGCGATGCCTTCGGGCATCGCATAGCCTATAGAAGAAGAAGAGAGAGGTCCATGGGGACCAGCTTAGCCCGAAGAAGAAGAAGAGAGAGAGAGAGAGAGGGGGAGGGGTTTAGGGATCCTTTTTATACTTTTTGGGGGTATGGGATTCCTTATAGTTATGTGCAAAAGACCTCTTTTCTTCTCGGAGCACTGTGGGCAAAGCAATCCTGAACCATGGTAACTGTAGGAGCGAATGTTTCAGTGATGATGATTGAAGGGTCTCAGGGTTCCCAACACTCATTCTTATGTCATTCAAATGTTCAGGGCGTTGTACAAGGAGTTCAGATTAGTTGTCTTGGTCCTTGTTTTCAGGATTGCCAGGTCCTAGACAAGCCCAGGAATCGCCTGAAGCACGGTACAAAGGCCCCCTTCAGCATTTGCCTGCCCTCCTAAGGGAGAGCATCCCTGGATTCATGTCTTGACTAGGCTTATGGGTTCAGAATTTGGTGCTACAGGTGGCGACCACGTTAGCATTTGGGCCTCTTCTTCCTGAGAAGGTCTCCCAGCTAAACAGCTCCTGCTGAGAACGCTAAACCTTAAACCCCAGGCCCTAAACCCTAAACCCTTAAAGCCTTAAACCCTAAACCCTAAACCCCTAAATCCTAAACCCTAAACCCTGAACCCTGAACCCCTAAACCCGAAACCCTCATAATT